GCAGGAAGGAAGCACCTGACCAGAAATAGGTGGGATTTAGCTGAGAGAAGCCCAGGGCCAGAGCTGAGGCAGGTAATCTCAAGAGCTGACATGGAAGAAGCACTTGAGCAAGCAGTAGAGGGAGACTCTGCACTCCCAGGGGTTAAGAGAAGGCAGCCTTACAGCTAAGGCAGGGTCTGGTGGTTTCGGGGCAGTAGTGGCCTTAAGAGGCCCTGGAGCAGGGCCAGGGCTCAGGGATAGAGTGGAGACAGGACCAGAGAAGGTCCAGTGTCTGGCAGGTACTAGGTACCTGGGAGTCACCAGAATGCGTGAAGCGCCGAGGTCTGAGTGGACAGAGACAGCAGCCTGAGCTCAGGAGGGAGTCAGGAAGGTTGATGGCACAGAGACAGCCAGTCCCAGCAGTGGTGGAGATGGGGTGCTAGTATAGACCTAGGAGTGGTACCAGGTAATAACTTCTGCAAGGCAGAGGCGTGGTGTAAAGGATGATCGGAACCATGTAATAAGCCCTTAAAGCACTGAGTAGTGACATCTGAACAGCAGCATGGGATCAGAGATCCCTGGGGCAGCCTCCCTTTCCAAGGATCTAATAGCAAGGCATGGGAGGAGAACTGAAGGAGAACAAGGGCAGAGCAGAAGCAAACGGGCACCAGGGGGCATCACAGGTGGGACCACCACCTACTACAATGAGTGGAAGTCTTGCAGCCAGATTGTTGGTCCACTTGTGCTTGTGCTCAATTTTGAAGTTTGTCTTCCACAAAATTCTCTTACAGTTTCTGTAAACATCCTATTCCCTGGCTGGTAGTTCACTAATATAATAGAAGTGTGAACAGTGGCAATTCAAATTTGTATTGCTTCATTCCAAAGGAGTACTTGCAGAAGACTTGTCTTCAATTGTAACAGTTCACCTGGGGGAGCTAGAGAGCAATGTTTTTCTAGGCTGATTATGGTACGAATTTGAGAAGGGGAATTAAGAGTAAAAGTCTTTCCTGAAGTCTCTCTCCTTTTTTTCTTATGCTAAAACAACATAAATAACTTCTTAGTTTAGGGCATTCTTCTGCTTTATTGCTTAGTTGAACATGCCCTCATCCACTTGTGCCACTAATTTCACTGATTGACTTTCTCCATCGTCCGTTGTCAAACTATACTAACAGGCTAAAACAGGTTTTGCTCTCAAGTCCAAGTGAAGCCACTGGAAGTCAAGGACATTCAGAAGAAAGGGCCTAATGGCTCTTCTAGGACATCACCCTAAACCATCATACAATGCATGTTTGCACAGGTCTAAAGGCCTCCATCTCCTATATAACTACTGCAATCTAGATTAAATTGTTTAATTTACTGATCAAGCAAAGCACATGAACGAAGACTTAGTGTTATATTTATCATTTATTCTACCCTTTACATTCAGTGGCCTACACACACAGCAGTGGGTGAAATTTATATTCATAACAGCTGCACTTTTGGAAAGGCAATGCTGCAATGAAACCACCTTTGCAGGTAAAGCCAACTCAGTCCAATATAGCATAAAATAGCTCTAGGATTCTTATTTTATGAAGCCTGCCCATGAATTCAAGGGATAGTTTTGGGCGCTAACACGTGGACAGCCCTGTGCTGTTAGTGATAAGTCTACTACCCTGGAGAATCACAGGAGAGTGAGACAGGCTCAGGTAATCTGCTAGGCCTTCTAGGCCCTGTGGCGGTCAGACCTGCCTAAACACATTCCTTGGTTTTGCTTTACCTCCCATCTCTTACCTGCCATGACTTGACCTTTGGGTCTTTTAACTGGGGGGCGGGGCTGCCGCCAGAAGCTGGGGTAGCCTCTTCCTAGGTGCCTTTCCTTAGTGTACAATCCTTCGGACTTCTCTGCCCTAAACTCTATGGGGTGGGTTTCCCCTTTAAGGCAACTCTAGTTGCGTCTCTCTCTCTGGATCAGCCCCCAATGTCCCTGACTCCAGGCTGGGCCACCCTCACTATCTCTGCCCTCAGCCCTCTGGTCCACGACCCTGGGCTAGGCTGTTTGCTTCTCCAGCCCTCTGATCCCTGACCCAGGCTAGGCTGCCTAATACTGAGTTCCCTACCCAGCTCAGGTCCTGGGCTTATATGCCTCGAAGCTCTGCCCCCTTCCTGTCATGTGGCTCCCCAGGCACACATAGGGGTTCCCCCTTTTTAATTAATAGCTAGCCTGTACTCCTGCTGCTGCAGCCCCACACAACCAGCTTAGCCTGGCTGCCTTCTTTTAAAATAACTGGAGCTCTCCAGCTCACAGTTAGAGAGATGGGTGACACAAAGTATTCCCAATAGGAAGAGTATCGTTTGCTATCCAATTAAGTCAGTTTTAGGGCTGCTTTACAGTATCTGTTTGGTGAACAGTAGCTAAGGATATGGCTCAGTTTTTAAGCTCACAATGCTCAGCATCTTTTTACTATAGATGCCTGGCTATATGAAGAACCCTCTAATAACCAATTAAGTACCTGTACATTTCTGGGACTCTAGTAGGAGGTTAACTAAAAAAAAATTATTTCATTGCAAATGTAGTAAAGGGCAAACATTATTTATGGCCTATGCTACAAAAGCTATTGTTCCTTCTATTAATAATAGTAACTTACATCAATTTTCAAACTCAAACAAAACAATAAATCAAAATCAAGACTTGCCATATATGCAATCAAACTGAAAGAACAAAAAGGCCAGTCATAAAAAGATGAAGTATTTACAAACTTAGGCGCATCTGTAGAAGTCCTGTTCTTATTGAACACTAATATCACAATAAGACCTAAAATAGATATATATGTTAGCTTCTGCACCTGCTGGCAGAAGTCTCCCAAACTCATTCAGAGTAGCCCTTGGCATGTTTCAAACATGCACCTGCCCATTTGCACATGAGGTTTCATTCTTAAACATCTAAGAAAAAAAGCTGTGATTCTTCCTAACACCATCTAATGGGCTTCTTTACTATTACAAATATGAGCAAGGAATATCACAAAGGCAATATCTGAGGAGTAAAATAACTTTATAAGCTATATGCTCTATATATCCCTAGTGAGAGCGTGTACATGTATGTTTTATGCATTTTAATTTGTGTGCATTGATTTCACCCATTTAGTTGATTTGCTTTAAATTTTGAGAGACTATGTATAGATAAGCCCTTTCAGATTCAATTATTTCTGGTTCTCATTGTGTTTAGTATCATAGCCAAGCTTCTCAGGAAAGGAACCACTTAGTGTCTGTGAGTGATCATTTTCTTCATATCTTTGCAAAGATTTGCATATCTAACATCTGCTTATCAAAAACATAGTATCTGATCATCTCTCAGCTATACGTAAAAAAAACCCCTAGTGTCTTATTTTTCATATA